AAATGTACAACATATCCTCACTGCCACAACTGAATTTGAGCCAGTTTTTGTTGTTGTTCAGTTGTTTCAGTCTCTTTGTAACGCCATTTGGGGTTTTCTTAGCAAAAATAGTGCAATGGTTTGCCATTTTCTTCTCCAACTCATTTTACAGATGAGGAACTGAGGCTTTGAAATGACTTGCCCAGGGTCACACAGTTAGTAAGTATCTGAGGCCAGATTTGAACTCAAGAAGATGAGTCTCTCTGACTCTAGGCCCTGCACTCTACCCACTGTGCCACCTACCTGCCCTTTGAGGCAGGTACTAGTTCACAACTCTTCACTACTGAAAACTGATTAAGAGGGAAGACACTACTGTTTAACAAAGTCAATGCAGATGAACTTGTGGAAACATATATTCCTCTTCCCTTCACAGTGGGTTTTGGACTCAAAGTCAAAAGAGATAATGCACTGCCAAAAGCATGACTTTTGATAAGTTTGTAGCATCAAATACTTGTCAGTATTTGCACTGATGGTTAATATGAGGTGAAAAAATATGCTGGATACATGTAATCATAATATTGTAACCAAAGGTACCTCAAATATATGTGTGTATATATATATGCGTATATACATACACACACATATATATAAACATATATTTGTAGCCCTCTATAGATATGTGTATTATATATGTATATATAATATGTACACAAATATACACATGTGCATGTATATGTGTGTAGATACAGAGACAGCTATAGATATAGATGTAGATGTAGATGTAGGCAAAGACAGATTTTTTTTTTTGCTGGTCTGAGGTTTCATTAGTGTAAGAGTGCTGTTCTCTGTGAAGAACATCCTCTCCCAATGCAGATCATTGCCTCCTCTGTAACTTAAAGTCTTAGAGGACATGATGCATTGAAAGTAAAGTGACTTTCCTAGTGTCACTAACTAGGATGTGTCAGAGTGGGAGACACAGATCTGATTCTGCAAATCCACTACAAAATGACGTTTCTTGTGCTGGTCCACTTTTCTATCTGTCTATCTATCTATCTGGCTGGCTGGTTAGATGGACACAGAAAATATTATTTTGTGTTTTATACACAGACCCAGAACAGATGAGAACTGTGTGGCAATAAAGATGACAGATAGATAGATGTGTGTATATCTATACTTTGATATAGTAATAGTACTGGAAAATATGCTTAACACAATGCAATAGCCAAAAATCAGAATTCTGAAAACTTCAAAGCACCAAAATACAGCCCAGCCCCAAATGTAGGAGAAAAGCCTCTATAAGTACCCAAAATAGTGCTTAGTAATAAAAAATAACCAATCTCCTTTACTCTAATAAGCCTGTTATCTTAAGCAAATAATAATTATTTGTTATTGGTATAGACCAGACTAGAGGCAGAGCTGGAGTCGATGTTCAAAAAGACAGGAGAACGAATAATACATTTTAGGAAGATACTCATCAATAATGCTTAAAGTAAACCTGTCAATTAAAGAGGTATGATTATATCTGCATATTTGCTTTTACCAATAACTGTAAAGAACTGTGCCATTACTGTAAAATGCAGAATTTTGATTACAAAAATAGCTTACCTACCATCAATAGGATATTATAATTTTTCCAGTAAAAATAATATATTTGCCATAAGCTAATCACACTATTATGTACTCCCTATTTTATGATATACTATGTGGTGCAGTAGAAAAGGTATTGATTTGGAGTCAGAGTTGGAAGATCTGGGTTCAAAAACCACTTCTTCCACTTTACTTTTGTGTCCTTGGGCACATCATGTTGCCTCCATGGGTAAGTTTCCTCAGTTTCTCTGTAAAATGGAGGGTTGGACTTGAAGACCTCTACTGCCCCTTCTAGCTCTACATTCACAATCACTGCCACTACACCTGTAATACTGTGGATAGAGAGTAAACCTGGAGATGCCAGGTGGACAAAGAAGTTTTTCTTCATTCAAAAAAGCCACAATCATAATCTTATTAGAATTTTAAAAAGCTGTACTAAAGGATTAATGGGTTGCAAATACCATTGGGGAAGCAGAAGCCTTCTCACTTTTTGAAGGTATTTGAATGCCTTTAGAACACTACTATACAATTTACTGTGCTAGTGAACTAATGAAAATGTATTTCCAAAAAGTAAACAATTTTTCTTCACCACCGATTTTAACACTCAGTTTATAAAGCTCCTGTTTTTATATGAAAACTGTGATCAAAGTTTTTTTTTCTTTTTTAGTAGCAGCATTATTTATAAATGACAAAAAGATGCAAGCAACCAAAATACCAAATGATAGAGAATGGCCAAATAAGTTTTGGTGATTCATATAAAGAAATATTATAATACATCTAAAACCAAATATAATATATCTAAAACCAAAAGATAAGAGGAATACAAAGAAATCTGTAAACAAAGTCTTTATGAAATAATACAAAGAGAAAAAAGCAAAACCAGAAGAACAGAGTATATACTAAATTTAAAAAAAGAAAACTGATAGAGAATTAGAGAGAATAAGAAAATTATAGCATTGGATATATTATAATTAATTTATTTAAAAATAAATTGTTTTAAAAGCTACTTTATATTGACATTTAATATTAAATGATGGTGCTGATTCTAGATTTTTTCTTCACAACATGGATTTTAAAGTATTTTACATCTTATAAGTCAGATTAATTTTGAATATTAAAAGTTTCATATCTACAAATATGATGAATCTTAAGAGAAAAAATTCTTATGACTCAAACCTATGTTACAAAATTGTATTTCAACAAGGATATATAATATCCTTGTAATATACCTACAAAATATATCTATAAAAGAGTAATATACCTATGAAAGTCAATTTGAAACGATAGCTACAAACAAACAAAAAAAAAGTCAAGAAAAATATTTTCATCATAGGGAAATACAATAGATATTTTCCAAGCTTAAAATTCACATCTTAATAACATATGCCAAATAATATAATTTTGAAATGTATAACTCATGCCATCTACTCCTGAGAAGATCTTAATGGAGAATTGAAGGTCTTAATAAGACATGAATCATTATGAAAATATACTCTATCATTAAAGTTTAAAATAAGAAGCATAAAATTAACTCTACTAACATTCATAATAACCTGACTTTCACTAATCAGCCAATTCCAGATACTGTTCTCTAAACTTCTGGATTAAAAAAAAAAAAGCTAAAAACAGATTTCTTTTTCAATAATGAAAAATATGTAAAAACCCTAGAACAGTCAAAATGAAAAATTTATCTCCTAGTTAAGTGTAATGGGCTAATCTAAAATGTTTACAGATTCCTAAAACTTTGTTTTAGGTCTATATTTTATCACTCAAAGTTTGCCTGCAACTGAATACACATAAAGTATCACAAAATGACAAATGACGATTTCCTGATAGTTACATTTAGCTGCTGCTGAACAAGGTAAACATGTCAGTTCAATTTGTTTACATCCCCGCTGAGTTGGCAAAGCTTTCAAAATACTTGTTTTAATGGTAAGGTAGAATTGCAATAACAAATGAATTCAATGATTGTCTATAGAGCTAAAAGCTTTCGGTAGTACCAATATGCTGCTTTCATTTCTAAGACAAAAACAGTTTCCACTTAGCTTCAATTTCTCTTTTGAAAAAAGAAGGAAGTTCTGCTAGTGAAATTACTATTTAAAAAAATAGTTCATTCTAGGTTATTTTTCTAATCGCATTTTTGGCTTTACTTCTCATTATGTTGGAGAAATTTCTTTTCCCTCAACGTTTCAATGATAAACTTATATTTTGAAATATTCTGCCTCTGTTTGGTAACTTCACAGTTGTTAAACAAAAATGCAATTAATTAAGGTTTTTCAGTTACTTGAACCTTTATTTCAACAAAAGGGTCAAATCAATTACTATAGTTCACTAGTAATATTTTATGAGAATTTGCCTCTTACATCTGGCTTTATCTGATTTTATTTTATAAAAGTCAGCTCCATTAATGTCTTACTTTTTCAACTGGTGTTATGGACAACATTTCAATTTTGCTTGAACATCATGACAGCTCAATAGGTGTTGCTTCTTAATAGTTAGTCAAGGAATGTACCAAAAACCCATGGATAGTTGTTGGTTTGTTTCTTTAACCAGTTTGCTCAGACGGTTTCCCAGTTTCAAAAATGAAATTGTCATAGAAAAGTATTTCTGACTTTATGTGTTCAAATTGGCAGGCAAGAACTTTCTAAAAGTAATATCAATTTATGTAGAAAAGAGCATTTGATTTATCTTAAATAAGAAGATATGCCTTCCCTCAAAGGGATTAGTAAAATACTAATGTAAAAGTTCACACGTCACCTTTTGAGGACTCTCAAAGAGAACTTCCAAATTTTCACCAATCAACTATCTGTCTATCTTTCATATGATTTCAGCTTATAAAATTGGAGTTGTTAGAACTAGAAGAAACTTCTGAAGCCATCCATTTTAAACCCTTAACTGAAATCTAAAGATATAGCTTGCCCATGGTAGTGAAGCTGGTTAGTGGCAGAACCAAAGCTAAATCCCCACTGACTTTTTTTGCATTCCAGACTTCTGTCTACATCACATTGATGTATTTGAATATTTGGGTGTTTGTTTAAAGCAATCTGGTGAATAATATGACTTAAAGACAATTTCTTGAGGCCCCTCTTACTTCTTGGACCTCAGGCCTTATAGGGCCTGTTTGGGTGGTAACATGGCCTCTTGAAAATAAAACAAAACTTGCTACTCCAAATTGAGCCTGTAACACAGAACCTGAGAGAGACTGTTCACAACTCCTCAAATGAACACAGGACTGTTCATAGACTAATTTCAGTCATATCTCTCAGGAAAAGAATGTGTTCTTTCCCACAGCATGTTTGGCAAACACCACATGGAATCACATTGCTATCACAGATCCCTAGGCATTTTTCTTGTGACAGAGATTAAAAAACAACTCAACACATTACTATTTAGTCTTTTTAAGGGTAAAATGAAGGAAGATGTAAGAACCATACCCATGCAAGAAGCAGCAAATTTCTTTTGACTGTTCCACAGTATCCTAACATCCCCACAATGATAAGGAAACAGCAGACAGCAATCATGATGGGATGAACCACAGGAAAATAAGTTAAGATGACAGCCTCCTCTACCCTGAAAAGAAACAAAAAAATAGAAATATATCACAAAAAAAGAAAGAAAAGATAAAGTTTTTATATCACAAGAAAAAAGTCACTATATTTTCATTAACAACTTTAAGTCACCATGTGTTAATGTAATGCTATTTTCGGTTACTTTTTTTTCTGTTAAATGAGATAATCTCTCCTTCAGCTTATTATGAACACATTCTTAGGCAAAGATCTTTCTGAAGTGACAGACTGGAATCTAGAGCAAAACCTTGAAGACTTGCTAGCAGAACTCCAAGACGGCTGCCCTTAGCATGATGCTTTCTTCACAGTTCAACGGGAATTCCACATTGAAAGGAACTAAAGGAAGATAATGTCAATAAAATATACCCTCCACTGCTTATTATCCTTACCGTAGCCTCTGTTCTACCTTCACCAATGAATCCAAGGTTTTTCAAGACATTATAAATTGGTCTAGGTAGAGACCAAGAATATCGGGAAGAAGTAGTAGATTTTTATATTGTTTAGGGGGAAAAAAACCCACCAGTAAATATGTAGTCCCTCATATACAAAGATGAAAGTACTGATCCAGTAGTAGCAAGTCAACTTTCCAGAAGTGATGATGGTCCGAATGATCCTTACATACATGCATTCATCTGGTCCTCTCTGTGACAAATTGGTTCGTAAAATGGCTAGAATGAGCAAGGGGTCAGTGATGATATGGGGGGAAAAATGTGGTAAGGACACACATAAACAGGTAAAGTTCATGAAAGAGACAATGTGTCAACAAGTTCCAAAGCAGAGGAGGGGGAAAAATCTTTCTTGTATGATCTAAACGGACAACAGTGTGTTGTACCTAAGAGATTGCTAAGATTACCATTTGAAAAGCAGCGTAGCCAACAATACTAAAATATATTACTGTATAATTATAAATCCTACCTCGTTTCTGCAGTTAAAGTCAGAACATTATTCAGATAATCCCTCATCCAGGCAGAAACTGCCAACACACTGATGGACATCAACTGGGGAAAAAAACACATTTGTTATTAAGTATTTAATATAATGATACTGCTGGAGCAATTATAAAATACATGATTTAATCAGAATGTGTTATTATCCATAATAACCACTTATTATTTACTGAACCACAATATTATTTATTGAATATTACTACTGTAATATAGAGAGAGAATCACAAAATTGGTTTTTTTGGTACTAAAAATATTTAATAAACATCATAGCTAGAAAGAAATTGAGATCAACAGTTAAAAATCAAAGTCCAAAAAAGAGGTTTCCTTAAGTGAGAGTGCCTCAGGTTAGTGGGGGTACTGAGGTGGCTCCCAAGGCTTTTCATCATCAGAGAGCCCCTGGGCTTCTCCCTGGGGAGAAGTTTAATTTCCAATGGGGGTCTCCCTGGGACGAACTACAGATCAGAGCTAGAGAGGAGACCAACCACATCCCCCCAGGACACCAGTACTCTTAGGAGACCTCCAGGTTCCTCTTCCCTCCCCAGCTAGAAGGGGCCTTAGACATCATCTAGCTCATTGGTTTCCAATTATTTCAAGCATTCCTTTTTATATCAAAAAACTTAAGGGATTCTCACATGACAGATTTAATATCTGGCATAGACATTCACTGCTACATGGTAATACTTTTATTTTTCATTGACTGACTGATAGATGAAATAGCTATCACAGTAGCTATTTCAAACTTTTTTTCAGTGCCAATTCCAACCTCCCCATTCTTAGAAAATGACATTCATCTACTTTCCTATGAAAATCAAAGACCATCAGTCATTAGTTCACTCATCTCTCCTACTCCACAAATCAAAACCCTTCTATACATCTTTACCCACCCTCTTCCGCTGGTTCATTCTCTGAGGGAAAAGGATCCATTTCTCCCTGCCAAGGCTAACCCTGGTAACATGCCCTTTATTGTATCCCCTTCCGTGTTCTCTGGCAATTTCCTTTCCTCACTTCCTTTCCTCCCATCTTTAATCTCTCCAGCATTATGAGCTGGAAGAACTGGGAAAGGCCTCCTAAAGAGAGAGACAAGTGATCATTTGTCCTCTGTTTAAAGACTTCTAATAAAAGAGAACTCAATGTTTCCTGAGGCTGTCCATTTGACTTTGTGTTAGCTTCTCTACTAAATCCTTTATTCCCACCTATCTTCCCTCTCTATATTGCTGAGTATAGCATTTCTCTCATCTGTCTCTTTTTTGGCTATGAAATTACCTGCTCTTTGCCAACCTCACAGCCATTCCTTCTAAATACTACTACAGCCACCATCACTACTAATCTTCACAGCTCTCTTCCCACATTTCTCTACTTTCCTTCTTGTTCTTTTCATTCCTTTGTTTGGTTTCCCATTATTTTCAGCTTTCATGCAAAATAGTTAATCTTCTATAGAAATCAGCAGCCAATCTAAGAGATGTCTTATCTTTTGTTGTTCAGTCATTCGGTCATGTCCAACTCTTTGTGACCCCATCTATATCTTTGGAATTTTCTTCGCAGAAAATGGTTTGCTATTTCCTTCTCCTGGGGGTCCCTGTTTTACACATGAGGAACTGAGGCAAAAAGGCGTTAAGTACTTGCCCCGGGCACACAGCTAGTAAGTGTCTGAAGCCAGATTTTTAACTCAGATCTTCCTGACTCCAGGCCCAAAGCTCTATCTACTACACCACCAAGCTTCATAGTAGTAAGTAATCAATCAAGGTGAAATACAATCATTGGGCTGCTTGGTGTTCAATAGGTGCTTCTTCACTGGCCATTTTTTTCTTTTGTGTATTTGTTTTTGCCAATTACTTCTAGGTCCTAAACTATCCAGTTTTACTGTTAGATAGATACTGTTAGATTTTAAACTACAAATACCTCTATTATAATTCTTGAATAAACGTAATACCTTTCAAAAATCAGTTCCAGCCACTCATTTCTAACACACTGAGAGACAGAGAGGCAGAAAGAGGAAAGGGCTTGAAGACTGGAGCCCTGTCTCCACATGTACCATCTGTGTGCATGGACAACTCACTATCTCTGAACCTCAGCCTCCTCCCCTGTAAAACAGGGATACCTCACCAGGTTTTTGTGAGGAAATCACTTTCTAAACCTTAAATTACTATATAAATGCCAGTTAGAGATAGGGATAGGGATTACACATGTAATTTCATTGGTATAGGTTAACTCCTGGACATGGAAATTCCCTCTATTAATGGAGGTCAACAACTTTGCTGTAATTTATAGTTTTTGAGAATTACCTTCATCACTGAAAGATTGTGACTTGCCCAGGGTAAAAAAGCCAGTGTGTGACAGAAGCATCATTTCAACCCAGGCCTTTCTAGCTTTGAGGCTAATTCTCTAAACACTATGTCACACTAAATGTAAGTTATTATTACGTAATATTTTAGGACTATATCTGCTTCCCTGTAGTATTAGGTGTAAGGAAGTTAAATGATTTGGATTGAATTCAAATCCATTAAATTCCTATCTCCTCTGAGCTCAAGCTCTGATTGTTTTGTTTAACCACCACTTAAGCAATGAAAATTAAAATCTCGGAAAAAACCCTAGATGTCTATAAATTAATACAGTAAAAAAGATTTGAGATCTAAATCTGTCCCCCATGTTCACACGAAGTCTAAGCAGAGATATTAATGTCCACCCTTCTGCAAGGTGAATTTTTGCTTAGTCTTCTTTAAAAATGTGTTTTGAACCACACTGTGATAGATGGAAACCTGGACTTGGCATCCAGAACACCTGTATTTAAATCCCGTCTTGGACACTTAACTAGCTGTGGAGATATGCACTAGTCACTTAATCTCTTGTAGACTCAGGAATCTCTCTAAGAATATAATCACTTATTAATTGTAATCTTTCCTGATGGAAGGAGTTCTCACATTAATGCTACTAATGTTTTAAAAGTCAACATGTGAATTTCCCATTTCACCCCATTAAACACCAAATTCAAATCCTCTTTAATATCCTTATTGTAACTCTTTCCTTCCTTAGCTTCAAAGACACTTCTTAGTTCTCTTTTTATTTGTCTTACCATTTCTCTTTAACTCCTTTGCTGTTTCCTTGTCATCTTTAAGACTGATGTTACCCATCTCTCTCTTCTTCCCTCCCTTCCTCCTTCCCTCTTATTGTTAATATCATTTATTCCCATGGCTTCACCTATCACCTTACACAGATGAATTCCAAATCTATATCTACAGCCCTCCTCTCTCTTCTCCACCTGAATCTCACAATTACCTCAAACTCAACAGGTCCCAAAGCAAGCTTCTTTTTACAAGTAAATCTGACTGCTTGTGACAACACCTTCACTCAATTGCCCATATTTGAAACCTTGAAATTATCTTGTTCTTTTCTGTCTCCTACCTCATATCAGTTACTAAGTTTTGGCATTTTTATCTCAAAAGATTTCTGTCTTATCCTCTTCAACTGCCAAAACTCAAATATAAGACTTCATTAATACCACCTAAACTATTAAAGTAGCCTTCTAACTAGTATTCCTGCCTCTACTCTCTCCCTCCTTCCAATCATTCCAGCAGCAGCAGCAGCACATTTATAAAGCACTTTAAAGTTTGCAAAGCATTTTACAAATATCTCCTTTGACCCTCAAAATAACTCTGGAAGGTAGGTGCTATTACTAGCCCCATTTTACAGATGAGAAAACTGAGTCAGACAGAGGTTAAGTGACTTACCCGGGATCACACAGGTAGCAAGTCTGAAGACTTTGAACTCAGGTTTTCCTGACTCCAGGCCCAGCTCTCTAAGCACTACGGTGCCACCTAGTTGCCTCTACTATTATGAAATTAATCTTCCTTATTATTTAAATATATGCTTGGTCATCTTATTAGGTTCAAAAAATTTAATAATTTATTTGCCTAATTAGTAAAATCCAGACTCCTACACCTGAGATTCAAGGTCCTCCACAAGATGATACCACTCTACCTCTCAACCTTTCACATAAATCCCATTTACTCTATTTGTTGTTGTTGAATTGTTTCAGTCCTCTCTGACTCTTTGTGACCCTATTTGGAGTTTCCTTGGCAAAGATACTGGAGTGGTTTGCTATTTCCTTCTCCAGCTCATTTTATAGATAAGGAAACTGAGGCAGAGTGCAGTGACTTGCCCAGGGTCACACAGCTAGTGTCAAAGTCCAAATTTAAACTCAGGTCTCCCTGACTCCAGGCCCAGCACTGTATCTATTTCACCACCTAGTTGCCCCCATTTACTCTATACAGATAGACAAAATGGAGCACTACATTTCCTGATCACAGGATCATATATTTAAAGGCAGAAAGGAACTTAGAGATCCCAACCCCTTCAATTTACAGGTACAAAAACTCAAACCTAGAGAAGTTAAGTGATTTGTAAGCAAGTAAATGGCAGAGCTGGGATTCAAACCTAGGTTCTCTGACCCTAAGTGTGGTCCACATTTTCTGGTCTATGCCTTCTCAAATCTATGTCTTTGAATGTCTTCTCTTTCCATCTTCATTTACTTAATTTCTGCCTATTCTTTAAAGCCAAATTGAAATGACACTTCTGTGATACCTTCCACTGTATGTCCATCTCTCCATCCCACCTGAGGATCCCCCTCCACACACACACACGAGAATTTCTCCCCTCTCATCTTGGACCTCATACAATACTTTGTTTTCCACCTCTGTCACAGTGGCCTTGTAGTTTTTTATATTGTTGCAACATCCTCCTACTAAACAGGAAGCTCTGCAAGGGCAGAGGCCATTTTTCATCTATACTTTATATCTTCCCTAGGACTTAACCCAGTATTCTACAGTCAGTAGACATGTTAAAAATTCTTGTTAAACAAAATGTATCCAGATCTATAAATGTGTTACAAGAAGAATCAAGTGAGAACAGCAATAGCTCTGTCCTATTACTAATTATTAGAATACAGGTGCTTCTAATATATGGACACAAGGACCTAGAGATGACTGCTAGAGCACATCTGATGGCTCTTCTCCAGTATGTGAAGGACTGTCTGATGGAAGAGGTATTAGAGTTAT